ATCACTCAAAGGGTAACAATAAAAATGAAAAATTCCTTTAAATATCATGCCTGGGGGGGGTCCCTTTACCCTGCCTGTAAAGTGGTAAATCTTTACGATGTATAGAACCTGCTGCAGCAAAACTGACATCTCTAAAGAAAATTGACTTTTTAAAAAAAAATCTTAAAGCATGCAGTTCCCCAATACCAGATCCTTAACCCCTGTGTGGGTTACCCCCATAAAGTCATACCAGGACCTTACGGTCTGGTAGGAAATTTGAGGAGGAACCCCACCCCCAAAAATCCTCTTCCCTACAAGCCCTGGGGCGTTGGTTGTGGGGGGTCTGCAGGCAGGGGGGCTTATTCACATCAGGGGCAACCCCCCCTTGTAAATGAGTAAGGGGTACTTGTACTCCTACCCATTTACTAAAGGGTTAAATAAAATTGTAAATAAAAAGTCCAGACTTTTGAAAAAAACCTTTATTTGGGGAAAAAACTAAAGACATGTTTTTGACAAGTCTTTTATTTAAAAAAAACAAAACACCCAAAAATTGGTCCACCGATGTAATCCAACATCAATCACAACGTCCAGCTATCACCCTATGTGATAGATAATACACAATGACAGGTCCTCTTTACGGAGACATCAGGGGTCTCTAAGACCCCCAATGTCACCTAGGGACCCCCAAAGAAGCTGATAAAGCAGAGATCTGCTTCACCAGCTTCTACTCTGGCTCTCAGCCAGAGAAATGACAGCTAAAGGCGGAAGTGATGTAATAGACATCACTTCCGCCTGCAGAGAGAATGGAGGAGAGTTCAGCGGTGGGGGAATGCTGATCTCGCCTCCGTTCTCTGTACAGGCAGCTGCTGTGCCGGTACTGATAACTGGCGGGGGGGAGGGGGGTAAGCGGCAATGGAGGGAGGGCGCACACCACATGCAGTAATACAAGTGATCGGCCGGAACGCTTGTATGTAACAGCCAGTAACGGCTGTTTAGATTCCCAGTGGGACCCTGCTCGCGCACGCCTGTGAGCCGCAAGAAAATCATGTAAATGTATGCCAGCCAGGCATCCCGCTGGGAAGCATCCACTGTCCGCCAGTATTTTTACTATGGGCGGACGGCAACTGGTTAAAGGTGAGGCCTAATGCATGTGCAGTCAAGATCGCATTAATTAGCAGAAACATATTAAAAGCTGTGAGTTCACATAATAAAGACATGTTATTCAGGGTTTTAAGGGCTAAAGTGAATTTAATATTAGCAGTAGTTTTTGTCTCACGTTAGAGTACTTGTTTAAGCTGTAACAACCTTGAGAATTTTAAGTTACTGGAAAACACATGATTTCACAAAAAATGAATGTGCAATGTTTATCTAGCTAAGTTTTGATTTTGTATGCAGCAGTTGCTATGCTTTTCTTATTTGTGATTAGTTGATGCTTAACCACCACCCTATGTTTACTTGATATAATTCACTAATGCGCTGAATAAACTTCGATACTGGGCTAATACCACACACCTTTGTGTCTGGGTTGATTCTCATATCCCAAGCCCAAGACTGTACCGATTCAGCAGAAGAAAAGTAGAAAGTCCTTGGCAGATTTGACCCTGGGGGTTATCACAGAATAACCCATCAAAAGGAAAGAGTCTTTTTTTTTTTTTTTCGCTGCATCCCCCAACCCCCTCACATTCCAGGAGACAAGGGTCACTTGATGATCAGACATAGGCAGTGCATAACATCTGGCAGCAGGTAAGGGCTAACAATGGGAGAACACACCAAGACCGCACCACAAAAGGCCCCCAGTGTGCATGGCTAGGCATAGCGGGTCTCGTTGAAAAAACATCGATGGCATATGGAGCAACCAAAAGGGGAAAAAAAGAAAAAAAGAAAAGAAAAGATCCTCGGAGTAGGAGAGTCGGCGTGCCTTGGCCGGTGTGTCCGGGTATCGGGCGAAGCGTTCCAGCCTCACCGCACCATCCCTGTTCCTGTCCCCCGTTTGCTTACTGGGGGTGGGAAGGGCAGGATGCGAGCCGCCACCGCCGCCGCCATCTTGGATCGTGAGGCCTCTACCGTCCTTCTTTTTAGACATCCCCTCGTGTCAGCGCGTGGTTCCACAATTCACCGGAGCAGGTCGCCGGGTCCACGACACTCAGGTAAGCCGCCGGAGAGGTACACGGGTATCTGGGTAAGCCCTGCAGGTTATGTTCAGGATGTATGGTGGGAGAGCTCTCCGGGACACGTCCGACTACATGCGGCTGCTGGCCACGCCCCCACGGAAAGAGTCTTTAACCCTCAATTGTTCTCTAACAGTATCAAATAAAATAAGGTTCCCGCCTTTCATCCAGAAAGTCCCCCAGAGTCCAAAAATCCATCTCATTCCATTTATCAAAAATCCTATTTACTAACAATGGTGTAAACCTTGAATTCCTGGTGACGGGTACATTAGTTAGTTTTCCATTTTGGTTCCCAATCTTTTCCAAACATTCTTTCAAGCTTAAGGGCCTGTTCACATGAGATCAGGTCCTGATCAGGTGCTGATCAGCAAACGTGGAGCTGCTGATGCAGTGCATTTTTGACACGTTTTTGATGCGTTTTCAGTCCGGATGCTGACAGTTAATTTTTTGTCAATGTTGATGACATCATAATAAGTGGAGCAAGAATAAAAAAAAATATTTTCCCCCCCTTATCTGCATTGCGTTGCGTTTCCGTTGCGTTTCGTGCGCGTTCGTGCGTTTCCGGTTCGTTTCCGGACCTGACAAAATGTGACATGCAGTATTTTTTCTGTCGTAAGCTGAACGGACTGCGCACGTGAGAACTGGAGCCCATAAAACACATAGGGATACATTGGGATGCATTTTGAGTGCAGCAGCGTACGGAGCCGGTCAGCACACAAAACGGACGTCGTGTGAACAGACCCTTAAGGGTATTCCTTCTTTACAGGCCCCCTCCGCCCTTCCCAGCATGTAGAAGGAAGGAAAGGGAGCTTTCCTCAGACAACTGCCCTTCCAGTTTCAGATCCACTAATCCTCCAGGTTTTAACAACCAGACTCGGTCAACTTTCACTAACGTAGCCCTATTATCTTCCTATCTTTTGGAAGACTCTCAGCCTCTATTAAGCTTATTTCGTCCACACGCGACAAACTACCGTCACAAAATTACATTCTGACAGATGGCAGCAAAATATAAACAATTGGGTGCCCAACTGTCAGGCACCTGTCAGAATCTTCCCGCAGGTCCCAGTCAAATCAAAACAAATGGGCGGAGCAAGCCATGCTTTTGCGGCTGGGAAGGAACCCGGAAGACGGATGCCGGCATCGGCCGGAGGACACAGCGGGGCTTGTAGGGACAAGGTACTGAAAATTAACCCCGAGCCACACTCGGGATTACCGCCAGGAAGGTTAAACAGTACCTGCCAGAACCTGCTAGACACTAGCAACAATGCTACACACATGGTAGCCACATACTCACTTGTGGGGTAATGAAAGGGTTACAGCACAACAGGCAGAAGAGAAGCCTGCAACAGATTCTATAAGGTCCCATTTAAGCATTACAAGCACTGTGGAATCACAGTTAGCAGCAACATATGTACCTGTAAGGCACCAAAATGGTTAAGGCACAAAAGTAAAGGTGACAGTATCAGTAAGCAAAAAAACAACACATTTCCGTCAGATCCAGCTAAGGCTTTAGCAGCAGAGCCAAAAGTGGCAGTAGCATACTCTTCATCAAGGCATTTGAAAGGCTAAGGCACCACAAGCAAGCTGATGGAGTCTGCAAGCAAGACAAGTACCTCTGCGCAGGGCTGGTGCTAGACTTTTTTGCGCCCTAGGCAGGTCCAGATTAAGAGCATCACGGGCCTGGTGCTGAGGATTTTGGTGTGCCTTTTTATGGAAATGTCGACGGTCACCAGGGTCCTCTTCCTCCTTTTTGGGCTGTGATTTGTAATCTCTCTACAGCTTGGAGTCAGTGGTGTAGAGCCAGGGCCTGGCTGCAGCTGTGAGCCTGGTAGATCTGCCACTGACTCCAAGCTGTAGAGAGACTACAAATCTCAGCAATACATTATACAGCAATGCAATACATTATACAGCAATGCAGGAATACATTATAAAGCAATGCAGATAGGCACCGGCTATAGTGGACTGCAAATCCCAGCAATACATTGTTAAGCACTGCAGAATACCATCAGCTATAGAGGGCTACAAATCCCAGCCATGCTTTATACAGCAATGCAGAATACTATGAAGCTACATACTCTGTGTTGCTCCGGTTTCACGGCCTGACGTCTGAGGGTCTCAGGAGGGCTGTGCAGGGTTTCAGGGGGGGCTGTGCAGGCTCTCAGGAGGTCGGTGCAGGCTCTCTGGTAGTCATTGCGGGCTCTCAGGGGACCAGTGCTGGCTCCGGGTGGTCAGTGCGGGCAAAGGGTGGTCAGTGCGGGCTCACTTTGGGTGGTCAGCGCAGGCTTTGGTAGGTCAGTGCAGGCTCACTGCCTGATTGTGGCTGGTCACCAACCCGGATACCGAGGCAATTCAGGTCAGCCGGGCCTATATGCAGGGGCGGGCCTGGATCAGCAGCTCCACCCACCCCTACGTTAATCTGGCCCTGTCCAGGACCACCACTGAAAATAGGCCTGGTCAGCCCGGATTGCCTTGTGAGTAATACCCGTTCCCCCCCCCCCAACTACAGAGTCGCCCACGTGTATGCCAAGTGCCATGCCCCGAGCAGGAAAACAGAAAAAGAAAGTCTAAAGCGCTACTACCCTTGCAGGCAGGAAGTGTTCAGGCCTGGGGGGCTTTGTGTGTCATCCGAAGATCCATTTGATGTTAAAGGCGAGAGGGAGAGAGAGGTAATAGATGAGGCATGAGATGCTGGTGTCAAGCAAACAAGAGAGTGTAGTAACTCACCATGAGGTTTGCTGCCGTGTGCAGTCCAACAACAAAATGGCCCACATGTGTGCCAAGCGGTAGGCCCCACCTCACAAGGCATTCCCCAGGCACACTGATTAGCAGTGGGGCGGGGCCTGTAGCCAAGGCTCAGAGATGCAGCACTCGTATTGGATCCAAGTGTCGCTGGCCGGATGGGCTGCCACCGCTACCGGTGCCACCGGGCTCACTGGACTCCTCCTGTACTGGCTGCCCTGGGGGTGAGCGGAGGCGTCCTTTGTTATTGCTGTATAAAGGGAGTGACTGCTGTAGAGCCACTGTTACAGTCAGGGCCAGAGAGGGGAAAGCTGGGGAAAGGAGGGGAGCCATGAGAGTTGGGTGTTATGGAGTGCTATGGGGGTTCTGAGGCATTGGGTTTTTTATGGGGGTCTTGAGGCATTGGGGTTGTTCGGTATAAGGGGAGTGTTAAGGGTTCCTTAGTTATAGGAGGTATGTTATGGGGTCCTGAGGTATGAGGAGAGAGTTATGGGGGTCCTGAGGTATCAGGGGTGTGTTATGGGAATCCTGAGGGATAAAAGGTGTGTTATGGGGGTCCTTAGGCATGAGGAAAGTGTTATGGGGGTCCTTAGGTATGAGGGAAGTGTTATTAGGGTCCTTAGGTATGAGAGAACTGTTATTGGGTTCCTACAGTACAAAGAGGGTGTTATGGGAGTTCTTTGGTATGGGGGGCCGTTATGGGTGTTTTATGAGGTTCCTGAGGTATGGGGTGTGTTATGGCAGCCCTGAGCGCTAAAGGAGTGCTCAGCACCAGGCCCATGATACTCTCAATCCGGCCCTGGTCCTGGAGCTTGTACTCCGCTAGCCCCATGTTAACCCTTTCAATGCCAAGGCCTTTTTTGCTATTTGTGCACAAGTTATAATCCCCATTTTAGGTCTGAAAATGACTTAAAACCTCCAAACATTATATATTTATAGTGGTGGTTTCCAAACTGTACCAGCCCCTGGAAGCGATCTAGCGGCAGCCAAGCCGTGGGAATCACTGTCATTGAAAAGCCGTCAGCCGGGTTTACACATGTAAGCTGCCGGGAGTCTGTTTAAATGAGCCCACTGCCACCCACGTATGACATATATCGGTGACAGCACAAGGGTCCAGCCCTGGCTGCACCCTAGGCGGCAGTGTGCCCTAGGCGGCTGCCTAGCTTGCCTAGTGGCACCACTGCAATGTGATCCAGCTAAGGTATTAGCAGCACCACAGAATCACAGAATCCCCTGCAATGAATGCACCTGTAGGTTTTAAAGCATACAGGTGAACTGAAAGGAACTACAGGTATAATAACAAATATCCAAAAAGATCAAGCCAGAGCAAAGCAGAACTGCAGAGCCACAGAAAAATAGTAACACATTCACCTACTTAACTACCTAAAAGAAAGAGGAGATGACACTATGGTGTCATCTGGCCAATGCGTGTGGCATCATTCACAAGACCATCAAGTCACAAGACCATGTATAACAATCATGTGCCGAGCTGAATAAATATATACAATTGAGTGAAATATGTGATATAACAGTAAGATACTATTTTTTGAATAAAAGCAGGTACTCACAATGTCACAGGTAACAAAAGGCATAAAACAAATATCCAATGGACACCACAGTACAAATCTATGGGTGCAATTGGACTCCCATCCGTCCATCTCAGCTGAGAAGAGTGACGCCAAATGCTCAGCCCTACATATGTTAAGTCTATGCGTGACTTCGTCAGGAGTCTGGAGCATCAGGCGTCTCAGGACTTATATAACATCACACAGGACTGCCGTATAAACTGCAGAATAAGCACTCCCAAGCCCCCCTCTGAGTTAATAGTGATATGGAGCAACTCTGGGCCATGAGGACATCCATATAAAATGCATTATTTTTTTTTGTCAAGAGCTAAAAATAAAGTTAGGAATCGCTACCGGTTTCTGACTTTAGTGTCATTCATAGTCATGCATTCACAGGGCTTCTGCTTTCAGGCCTGGTGTGGGAGGGGGGGGGGGGCCCCTCGTTCCCCCCCCCCCCTTTCTGGCCCTGCCAGGCCTATGCTCAGATCAAGGGCCTGGTTGGGAATTTTAGGGGGGGACCTCAAATCCCCCCCCATTTTTGGGGGTGGGGTTCCTCCTTAAAATTCCTACCAAACCTTAAGGGCCTGGTACGACTTTAAGGCGGAACCCCACACATTTTTGTTTCCATGGGGTCCCTCCTCAATATTCCTACCAGACCTTAAGGGTCTTGTATGACTTTGAGGGGGAACCCCACACATTTTTTTTTGTTGTTTTTTACACGGGGTCCCTCTTAAATATTCCTATCAGACCTAAAGGGTCTGGTATGACTTTTGTGGGGAAACTCCTTGCCTTTTTTTTTTAAATGTGGTCCCGCCTAACATTCCTACCAGACGTAAAGGGTCTGGTATTGTTTGGGAGGGGCAACTGTACACTTAAAAAAATGTTTTTGTTTTTTTATACTTTAGTAATGTCAGTTTTGCTGCAGCACGTTGTATAGTCGTACAGATGCACCACTTTACAGGCAGGTTAAGGGGACCCCCCAGGCACGATATTTAAAGGAATTTTTCATTTTTATTGTTACCCTTTAAGTGATGTTAAAATCACTGCTCCTTTAACCAGTTGCTGTCCGTCTGTAGAAAAAAAACGGACGGACGGCTTAATCCCCCAGTGGTGATTAAACACCACCAAAAGAAAGCTCTATCTGTCCCCAAAAAAAGGGTATAAAATTAATTTCAGTACAGCGTTGCATGACGGAATAAAAGTACCGCAGCGCTGAGTACTGAAAAATGGCCTGAATGGGAAGGCGGTTTAACACCCCAGACTTCAAGTGGTTAAAAACTGTATTTTTTAAAAAGTTTTTTTTTCATTGATTCCTGTCCCCCAGGGCAGTACACAGATCCCGATACAAGCCCTCTTAAAGGGGACAATTGTTTTTGAAAGTTCTACCCCCATTGATTTGCATTGAGTTTGAATTCAAATTTTTTGGGTGTTCTAAAGTTCAAACTCGAATCGAACTCAGGCCTGTTCGGCCCATCACTACTTATCATGCCTCACAAAAGGGTTGGGTAGACTTGGAAAATAATCTGATTATTGTGTGTAATGTGATTCTTCACTAGCTGGTTGTAATTGGATTCCACCTTTCAAACGAATCCTATCACCCTTGACTTCCCCACTCACTATGGCCGCTCTGCTAACCTGGCACCGTTTGCACATGGTCTATTGCTGGCCGTACAACTCGCTTTTATTACCTTTGTCAGATTCGGACTACTTCCTACCAGGGAAACACGATCCTTTATTTTTGTCCTGGACAGACTCCAACTGGCTACGCTTAAGGGATGTTCTTCAAGGAATCACTCTTCTGCCTTTGCATCCTTATGGAACCGCTGGGGAACTCATTCAATGGATTCCTGGAGATACCGACAGGTTCAACATTTTTTTTCCTCGCCTCCTGGGCCTTTACACTTGCCTCCATGTTTTTTACCTTTTGAGACACTCTTGGGGACCTCTGAGTCTCCACGCCATAGTTTGTCTACAATCTGTAAGATCCTTAATGATTTGAGACATTCTTCACCCCGTTATAAAACATATAATTAAAAGTATAGATAACCACCTTCTCTAGCCCTTTCAAACTATACCACCCAATGTAGGTGGGTATGTCCCACAGTAAAAAGCACTATTCAAGTCGCCCATATACAGTGCAATATGATCATTTATGCAAAAATGTCAGATCAAACATTATTTTCCAATCCAAAATCACAGATGTGCTAAGCACCCCATAACTGGTGAAGAGTGGACTCTTTGACCCTAAAATGTTTGACTGTACAGAGATTTAATACAGCTTTAAAACTGTATTCAGACATTAACTGTCCAAGTAATTAATCACTGAGCCTGAAACTCTACAGATACCATAGTTTATATGATTTCTGCTTTTTTTTTTCTTCAATTCTAGACAAGAGCACATCACAGTATTCTAAGTAGATTATGACCATTTCTAACAATGCTTGATATTTACCTCTGACTCTTGCTTTATAGTGTAATTTTTTTTAAATCAGATTTTTTTATTAAATTTTTTTTTTTTAACAGCAGACATACAAGGAAAACAAATAACAGCATAAAAACAGAGGTATATAAAAAAACACCCAACACATGCGCATATCAGTAAATACAATATCAGGGAACTAAAATATTAACTTCAAGATTATCTAGGCACAGATTAAAATGTACAACATATCGCGAGTTTAAAGACAAGTTTAAAGTTGGTGGAGAAAAAATTCCAGCACAATGGGCGAAGAGGGTTCTTTACAGTAAGAGCGGTTAAGGTCTGGAACTCACTGCCATCGGCAGTGATTTCAGCCAAGAGTGTAGATTTATTCAAGAAACGTTTGGACAATTTCTTGAGGGACCGTAATATCCAGGGATACCTATGATGGACCTATATGGGTTGGACTTGATGGACGTATGTCTTTATTCAACCCCAAATACTATGTAACTATGTAAGTGGAGAAGCATAGATATATTGTATCTAAAGTTTGAGGGTTAAAAGGGAGATGTTACATAGTTACATAGTATTTGAGGTTGAATAAAGACATAAGTCCATCAAGTCCAACCTATTAGGATCTCATTCTAGGAGTACCTGTACCCCTGTATATTACAGTCCCTTAAGAAATAGTCCAAAAGTTTCTTGAACAATTCCACATTATGTGCTGAAATCACCGCCGTGTGTGTGTGTGTGTGTAGCTCCATGAGTGTTCTCATTCTTAAGAGTACCTGTACTCTTGTGCATTTCGATCTCTCTGGAAGTCGTCTAAAAGCCTCTTGAATGATTCCAGATTAATTGCGGAAATTACCGCTTGAGGCAGTGAGTTCCAGACCCTAACCGCGCGAACTGAGAAGAACCCCCTTTGCCCCTTGTGTTCAAATTTTTTTTCTACCAGTTTTAGGTGGTGTCCTCTAGTCTTTGTTACGGAATTAATCTCAAAGAGTTTGTTGCTAATGTTGCTATGACTATGGAACATTTTGTACATGAAAATCATGTCCCCCCTTAATCTCCTTACTTCCAACGTAAACATGTTTAAATTTAGTAGCCGTGTCTCATAGCTCTGGTCCTCCATCCCCTTTATGAGTTTGGTCGCCCTCTGCTGGACTTTCTACAGTTCAAGGACATCCTTTCTGTGGACCGGTGCCCAAAACTGCACCGCATACTCCAGGTGGGGACGAACCATTGATGTGTAAAGTGGCAAAATTATAGACCTATCCTTGCAAAACATTCCCTTCTTGATGCAGGACAAGATTCTACTAGCTTTGCTTACAGCAACCTGGCACTGTAATTTATTATTCAGTTTGTGGTCTACAATGACCCCCAAATCTTTCTCCATAACAAAATGGTAAGTATAATAAGAGTTTTGGGATTACATTATTGGGCACGGTAATGTAGCCATTTTCCAATATACCAAATTATTGACTGAGTACTGCACTCCAATATCAAACCAGTTTGGGACACCTCCACAGTAGGTGTATTAAGGAGCCTTGGTGAAAGCCACATTTTGGACAGGAAGGATCATCCTTGATAGCCATTTTAAACAAAATCTCAGATGTACAATAGGTCCAGTGCAAAAAAAAAGTTGATTGAGTCTATCAAAAGTGGATAGAGATACTGAGAGGACATTACTCCCAGCATCTGCCCAATCACCATCTGTAATAGGACCAAGATTGTTTTCCCACTTACTCCTAACACTCAAAGGGGATTGTAATGTCAAGTTAGTCAATAAGCACATATACAAATAAGAAATAATGCCCTTAGTGCATCACGAGGCAACAAGGGCATCTAGAGCTGGAGTTGGGAAGAAATGTGGAGGAGTGTTACCAAATTGAGAGGTCAGAGCGTGTCGGAGTTGCAGATATTGATAAAAATTGATAAAAAGCATTGTGAGGCAAACCAAACCTGATTTTTAATTGTTGAAATGAACGAAGGGTGTAATCCTCCTATAACTGAGTTACAGTGCACACCCCTGCCTGCTACTAATTCTTGAAACCCTGCAAATTGAGAAGCTCAGGGAGCCTCCCATTATTCCAAATCGGAGTATAGCCTAGTATTAACTGAAATATGTAAGATTCGTTTAGTCGTCTCCCACACTCGCTCCATCAAACTGACTGTGGCAAGGTGGGAGAACTTTTTAAAAGACAAGTCAGTTTCTAAAGATCCTACAGGATCAGGACCATAAAAAAGATATTGAAGAGGGAGAAACGATTGTAAATGTATCGCCTTGGGCTCCCATCCAGAGAAGTGTTGTAGTTGAGAAGCAAAAAAATATAGCCAAGGACTAGGAAGAGCTAAGCCTCCCAAATCCTTGGGTCTTTGTAGGGTAACTAGTTTCAGTTGGGCCTGCTCTCGTTTCCAGATAAGGTCTCTGTAAATACTTCCAATTTGCCTAAATATTTGGGGGGAGATCCAAATTGGGGAGTTGTACAATAGTTGTGGCATAGGCAGTGAGTTGTGTAGACATCCAGATACCCAAAATTACATTTGTGCCAAATAATAGAAAGACCTGAGTATGCAGAAAAATCCGACAGATGTAGCATTACATTGTGCAAGAAGGACCGAGTATCTGCCAAGAATAGCAGGGTGTCATCTGCATATAATGCAAGTTTGTCTTCCTCCATACCTCTTTTAAAAACTTCAATATCTGGGGATTGTCTAATTATAGTAGCCAGAGGCTCTATAGCCAGTGCAAACAGTAAAGGGGAGAGAGGACAACCTTGTCTGGTGCCTCTCTGTAGACAAAAAGCTAGAGGAGAGAGAATTAATAATCATAATTTTGGGAGTGTGATATAATAAACTAATACAAGCACAAAATCGAAGTGTCATAGATTAGAGCAAAAGAGGGCAAAGAGTCATAGTTCAGGGCACTAATAGTATTGCTACATAAAAGAATAGGTTACAATAACATTTTAACTCAACAACAAAATAGCAGAGTAGGAAAGGGTTAAAGCTCAGGACAGGTGCTTATTTCTCTCTGTATGCCTAATATGAAGATTTCGACTCATTTCCTGTGAGGTCATGCATAATCAGTCTTATCTACAGCTAAACTAAGTTTAGCCATAGACCGTCAGCGATCTTGCTTTGAAAGGGAAAGGAGAGGAGGATCTCAAATGCTGAAATAGGACCTGGAGCTTATCACAACTGTTCTGATGGACAGAACCACTCGCTATATTCCCATGGCTAGCCAAAATTGTCCAGATCTTTGCCTAAGCATTGCATCAGTCCATCTTAAGGATAGTTATAGATGGGCAGATCTCTATTGAGAATACTGTCCTTGCTTTAATCATGCAGTGATAGAATGTTCAGTAAACTTTTACTGATGCTGCAATGTTTGCACACATGGTATAAGGGCTGTTTCTTTATCAAAGGAACAAAATGAAAGATTATCGCATAGATTTTTTTAAACAACGGAACAGTTCTGTGTGTGATAATAAGTACATTTGACACTTGACATTTCTCATGACTGCTATGTTTTAACTTTTACACAGCAAAATCTAGATAATACTCAGAGCTCTCATATTCCTTGAAAATAACAGGCCCCATATAGCCTTTCTAAGTTAGTATTTCATTAAAACTGGTACTGGGAATAGTGTGCACTATTAATTGCTATAACTGAGCTTTAAGAGGGCTGACATTTGCAGGTTTTAATTGCAAGTACTGTGCGTATATGTCCATTTCTGCTCCTGAAGTTATGAATTTCGTAGTCCTGGGGCATACATCCGTTGCCTGCTCCGTCAGCCCATACTAGGCAATGGTGCATGTTACGATAGTCCCTGAAAATTTAACACAGTGGTTTGTTAGATAACTACATTACTTGCAGGGTGATTTGGCCTCCTAAGAAGTGTCATGCAGAGTGATTTAGTCAGCTAATGTTATTCGTTGCTAGAGACAGGAATTGTAGATGGGTTGTACTGCTGCCTTCAGGAGGTTAGGACACTGGTAAACAAAAAATGTTAAGTCAGCCCCCTCTATAACCCAAACTTCATGTCTCAGTTTTTTGTTAGTATCCTATGAGGTTGGATACCTTCTCCTCGGATCTGCTAAAAAATACTCCAATTACTATTTTAATATTTTATTTTTATCCTTTTTTCAAACATTTGACATACTCCATAGATATGTTTCTCTTATATTGTATTGTATATTGTCCTGTTTGTTTCACCATGTTGACCTTTCCTTAGTAGTGGCCTTTCGCATTTTGATTGGCTCCCTATATCTAGCTTTCTATTCAGGCAATGTTTCTTTTCATACTTTGTGCTTGGATCTCTTATGTCTCAACTCTTAGTTGGACTACTTTTGAAAGTCCCATTTGTCTAGGTCTATCTACAATTTCTATGTCTCTTAATGGATGATAAAGAAAATAAGATTTTTGTAATCACCGTAAAATCTTTTTCTTTGAGTCCTTTGGCAGACACAAAATTGAGACATGACAGTTGAAGGCAGGATTACAGGGGGCTGACTAAATGTTTTTTGTTTGCCAGTGTGCCAATATCATGAAGGCAGCAGTATAAACCATTTGGCAGTACAAAAATCTTAATTTAATGCCAAACATTTCATCTAGTTGAAATATAGCAGGTAATAGTGTATGGCTGGGAGTCTCTGTCATTATATACAAAGTACACAATGGTAAGACTAATTTGTTTGAAGTTGCATATTCTGCCAGGGCTTTACTGAATGGTCAACATACATACTATAAAAGTTCCATGTAGCTAATGCAAGCTTTACTTTTTAAATAAAAGAGCATTTCTCCTTAAAGTGGACCTAAAGTCAATGCTATTTCCAAATGCCCAGTGCTATAAACAGATATATTTATATGAATAAAAACAATGTTAGTCCAGAATCACAAACAAATGTCCTTGTTCAGCATTACTGAACACTTATAGCAGTGCAAGGTTCTCTCTCTCGGGCAAATACCTAGAAAGTTTGGCAGCAGACTCACTCACTTGACATCAGCACTAACCTTCCACGGCCATTGACAGCCAGTATGCTTCTATCCAATGGTAAAACACACCCTGCTGTCAGCAAAATGTATGGTTGTTCTCATACTACCAGCTGAGACATAAACAGCTGCCATCAGAAATGGGAATGCACAGTGAATCATTAAACCTCAATTCTAGAAAGCAGAATGTGCACAGCTAATACAATCATTGGCCCACCTTCAGCCTCTACCTTCACATGTAAAGCTAATTTGGCTGTCACCATTTTATAAAAGCATGCAATTCAATCGTTGTATATAAAGGAAATATTTTACACAATGCAATCTTTAGGTCATTCTATTTTCTGTTTAATTTTAGAATGTGTGAGTATTATTTTCATCCTAATATAGGTGTTTCTCTGTTAACACTGGAGGTGTTAAAAGTAGTAATAAGCTGATTAGGAAGGAAAATTAAACTAGCTGTGCTTACCTAAGCAAACAGTGATTTCCTGTTGAACAGCCTCCTAAGCACCGTCCTACATCAATTTCCTAGAAAATTAACAAAACAGAAATAAAAACAATGAACACTTCCTCATCCCTATTCACATTCCTAAAAGTTTGTACAAAAGGCAACAGCTTAAGGGGAAACTAGTTTGCATGTCAACAAATGTGCATTACATAATTCGAAACATCAGTCTGTGGCTTTGTCCCATTGTGTAACAAATAACCAGCCATTGTATTTAATGTGTTAATGAAAGGTCCTTTAAACCTTTAGAGTGAATATTACAGATTATAAGATATTCAGTTTTCATTCACATTTAGTTATACAGTGTGCCTTTTATGCATATTTAAGTTAAATACACAGCTTGTTAAACTTTGATAAAGGAGCAGTGTCATTTGTTTTTAAATACACTACTTTGCTATCTACATAAAGTGAAATTATTATGATATTTTACTTTAACTTTGGATTTTCTAGATAACATTTTAAAGAATTTAAAAAAGTATCTTTATTTTTTAGCTTTGGATAGATTAGTAAAGAGTTAGAACTCCATCAGGATTTTATTTATCTTTGCCCCCATTACGCAAATTTCTCCTTTTTTCTGGTCACAAAGACGCAACTAATTTAAGTGAAAAATATTTTCAAAGAGAGAAACTTATCCTAGTTGTCACCAGAACAGGTGCCTCAATTGGAAGACCACCCCACACCTCCTATCTCCCTTTTCAGTTACTGGTAATGTACTGGTTTTCCCATTATCCAGGGTTAATCTCCTCAGTGGGGAGACAGATAGCAATGCAATCCTCACAGAGGTTCTAACTCTTCGTACTCTATCCAAAGATGCAAACAGGTTTCTTTACTTTTCATACAACAATTTGAATTTAGCTACCTAATTAAAAGTGATTTTAATTGGCTGACTTTTTCAAAGTGTTCAACTGATAAGAACTTATGAACATTCATTAAGAGAAAGTGGAAATCTTTTTCAGAAGCATGCACATTTTGAAAATAAAATGAGAGATCTTTTTCAATTGTTGAACAGAAAGAGGAGAACTTGATAACTAAACCTAGAACGTCACAGCAGGTCACTGTGATATGTCAACACCCCTCTTTTACAGACTGCTGGCAAAATAATAAATTGACACCCTTTATAGGTGGCGCATGAAAATGGACATATTTATAATACAGTCAGTTGGTCATTTAATAATTTGGGTGCACCTGCACAAAGTATGCCAAGAATGCTGGAAAAGTTACCTCTTTTATTTAGAGAAAAAAAACACAACAGCATCACAGCAGAAAAACTGAAGAGATGTTTTGAGCGAACACTGGGTCGTTTTTAAGCCAAACAAGCTGGTGAAAAATGCAATATCATAGCTTCAGGAATGATGAACTCTGAGAATTGTAAACTGGCCAGTATGTATACAAAACAAAAATGGCAAACTATGTTTTATAAACAAAGTGCAGAACTAGTAGTTATGCAAAGAAATTAGTATTGCAAAAAAAAATAAGAGCAGTAAGAAAGTGGGCACTTTTTATATCGCCTATCACCTTTATGTTTCAAGGTGAAAGTGGATACCTGTATGAACTAGGCAAGAGTTACAAAATGTTGCCACTTTTAAATCTTACCTTGAGCAATTCTTCAACAACAGCTTTGTGGTTTTGAACAATCTCATAGTAGTATTCCAGATAGGAGACCCTATAGCACTTCTCTTTCATATCACAAGTTTCTACAGTCTGCACAATATCTGCTCCATTTGGATTTTCTATAATTACTGTGTCAAATTTAGTTGGAACACACCAAAAACCTGTTAAAAATTAGATTATAAAAAAATGTATTCAATATAATGTTAGTCCTGGAAGCAAAAGCACATCATTTTTTTTTACTATTTACACCTTTAATCTCACTGGCTACATACTTGTTTGTTGCAATTTTTGACAACTATATACACATTATACATGAATATATTATATATAATCTTTCTTAGTGAATCACATTTTCTTTTCCAATGGATACGTGTTCTTTCAACCTTACTATGTTAGAATGCAGATCTTTGGGGATCATGCAGTTCACAGATTTAATCCTAAATTATTTACCACATTATTTACTGCAGACTGCACAAGTCAGGCAGCACATATCCAGGTAAACAAAAACAAAATTACAAAAAATATGACCAAATTCTCTAGATACTCCTGGACTGTAAACTGATTAATTTACCTATCATTATATCAGTTCGCGCTCCTGTCTTATAGAAACTATTTATTGTTCAGCAATTTTGATTTACCTGTAGTAACATCAGGACTGGAACATTTCCCAACATCAACTGTAGACTCAAAGGGGGTGTCTGGGAAAAAGGTCTTCAGAAATGGCATTCGGATGCATTCCTGTGGAATTATAATGCATTGACAGTCCTCAATGACTGCAATTTCTTGAATTCCCTGCAGCAGGAGAACCCTCTCTATAGCAACTTTTGTGGCTTGGCAGCTGGTCGGCATGTCCCCTTTAGAACATGAAGGCTCAGAACCAGATGGAGAAGGTGTATCTTGAACCCTCTCTTGCAACTGCAAAATCAAAAAGACTGTTAGGCAAGCTGGTATAGAAATGGAAGAGAGCTCTCCGCACACCTTACAGCAGTCCCGGCCAATTTAGGATGATGGTGCTCGAAGTGACCAAATCACGGATGGCACCGTGCAAATACAAAGCAAAAAGGTAAAAAGTCACCAGCACTCGATTTTTTTTTTAAAGTAAATATGTCCCTTTATTGGACAAAATACGTCATAGGGGAGCCGACGTTTCGGGGCCACACAGGGTCCCTTCTTCAAGGCAGAAAGTATGACGGTCATACTTTCGGTTTTGAAAAAAATCGAGTGCTGGTGACTTTTTACCTTTTTGCTAGGCAAGCTGGTATGACTTTCTCATGTGGATCGATGAAAAGCAACCATTTGTTAAGCCCTTAAAAAGGTGTATTAACCTTAGGTATTGTATTTAAAGCCAGTGTGTTCAAGGCAACATGCTACATATTTAACCTATTATTGCCCATAGGCAGTAAATCTAATGACAAACTTTTGATGCAGTGATGCAGGCTATCTGCACTGGAATGGTGTTTTTTTGAACAGCTTGAACTCCAGAGATTTTGCAGTGAGCAATTTAAACCTGCTCTCAATGTTTTTAAAATTTTACAAATCTTTATATATAAATCACAATAAATTAAAAAAGATAGTTGGTACATACATTTAAATCATTCATTCAAATGCATGTTGTTGTCTGCTATTGAAAATGCGTTGCATTTGGTAGTGCCTTTGTACATACTCATCAAAAAATTTAAATATGCATGTTTATTTTCAGAGCAAAGTAAATACACAAAAATGTAAGTAACACATACATTTGTTATTATAATCAGAGCATACAAGAGAATAGGTGTAATGTTGTATCTGGGCAGCAAAAACTGTATGCATTTTTGAATTGAAAACATTTAAGATTTTTTGAAATTTTAATTTTCTAATAATGCAATAACGTGTTATATCTAATATGGTGTTATAAGGAAGCCAAATTTGTCCCCATAAAAACAGTCCAATTTTTGTACTTTTCATACACCAAGCAGTTACAAAGTTATTAGCAACTGAATCTACACACAGCACAATGGCAAACATTGCCACAGTCATTAAGAGGTTAAAAATGTACAAAGCAGTTAGGCCACATTGTATGTCACTATACAACATATAATACAGACAAATTAGCAATAACAAAAGAAACATACAAATGAAAAATGTTAAAAAGATTGTAAATTAATTAACTTACTAACCTTTCTATTTTTCAGGAAATCTAGCATAGAAGAATGCTTTGGAAGTCCGGAAAAGACAGAATTGTAAGTGTTTACTCTTTGAGTGACCCCACAATGTGACTTGCATAGGCCCACATCCACACTTACAGGACTACCAGATATGTCTGCAAGAAAGCAAATATGTCAAATATGTATAGTAAATGATCCACAATACAATACAGCTGGAACACAAAACATTACTTAAAGTGTCCGTTTTGCTGATAAATGTAATGTTCAACATATTTTCTCATAGACCCTTTCCTCATAGACATGTTTTTGTTTCTGGCAAGGTTTGTACTGGAGATTTTCTCACATGGTAGTATTTCATATATTAGTAATAGACTACTGCTATTTGTGGCTCCTAAAAACAAATTTGTTTCAAAACCTAAAGAGTAGCAATACTCAAACTTTATTTCATTTAAAATGTAAGCTGTTTCACGCATCAAAACCGGACAAAATGTCACTATTTTGAGTCTCGGGCCTGTCACATTCTATCAATTGTGCATAGTGCATGGACTATTAAAATAAGTAAGGAATTTACCTGGCCCAATGTAGACAAAGTTACTCTGTCTTCTACAGCATTCTTGTTCTGCAAACAAATTTCTCTTGTTGTTTTGTCCATTTGCTTTCTCATCATCTGTAAGACAGTAGGTAAAGTTACAATAAATGATACACAGCCAAAAAATATGTGATTTATGGCATATTAGTAATCAGTAATTATGGCATGCTAGCTAGTTGGGTAAAATAACAGGCAAGGTACTTACAAGCTGAACAGAAGCAGCAGAACAAGTTGAAGAGGTTTATAATCATAAGCACTGAGTTTTCCATGTCTAGTGCCTACCCTTGCCTCCAAGAAACTGTTTTGGTTCCAAAACATCTAGACTTTAAATCCTTCGGGAGACATGGTTTATATGTATATTGGTGCCAAAGCTACAATAAGATGCTGCTGAGCTTGTAATCCTGATAGAACACAAAAGCAGTGCCAAAACCCTTGATCTAATTTAATTTGCCCACTTAAATATCTCTAACACAGTGGTTAAGATCCACTTCAAAGGCATGTTTCAAACAGCAAATTACCCCCTAAGCTTGGCTCATCTTTTGGTTTTATTTGCTTGCTCGGCTTGAGGTGTTAGCTTAATATACTTGCACTAGCCAAATGAAGCCCTAAGTAGCTTTGAGTCTACTGCTTTTTAAATTGAAAAGAAAACAATTAGATATTCATCTATTTCATGTGTCTATTATCTGTAGCTAAAAGGGTTTCATGACACTTAAATGTTTATACTGACTTTAGTTTTCTAATAGACTGTAATACCAGGACATCTATAATAATCTATCTCAAGTAAAGCTACTGGCCTGCCCTGTTGGCACCACCGAACTTGACAAACTTCAATCTGAAAATCGAAGGAGCCCTGCGGAAAATTCTCAGCCTACAGTGACTGCAACCAGTCAGATGCATTCAGTGTTTGGATATACTAACAGCCATGGGAGCTGTGTTGTCAGAATACAATAGCCAGCAGAGTAGTTTCCTCCGTCCATACTGTTTAGCATGGATGGGGGAACCGAGTGATCCCTTTCATTGCAAAGCTAAGCAAGATAAATTGTAATGTGCATGGCTAGCCTAAGTTGGATAGCTCATTAGCAGAATTAGATGATATACATGTTGTACATATCCGGTTTTAACTCAGCTTTTATGACAATACTTTGAAATCCACCTTTTTGAAGAACAACATATTTTTCATCTTCATTATAGGTAGATGTTTAATTTGATATATTCCATTTTTAATACACATTATTATTATTATTGTTATACATAGTACATGTCAAGCCAATAACTTTTATTTCTAGTTTTAGATATAGTTGGAAAGAATTAGAACTCCTGTTGGGTTTTTACTGCTGTTGCTATTTTTTTTCCGCAAAAGTGTGAATGGATTTGCTCACTAACCTTTCATTATTGAAATACAGAAGCAGAAACTAGCTATATACATTTGATAACAGATTATACGTAATGGGCTTATCACATATTTTAAAACTTCCCTACATTGAACATGCATGTTTGTATTAGGGTTGTCACCCGTCTGGGATTCACCCGGGCAGTCCGGTTTTTGAGTCTTGTGTCCAGGTGTCAGGCCAGCTGACACCTGGACACAAGACACTAAGTGGCGGCACTTTACATTTTTTGATAGATGCGGCTGCCTAGTGTCAGGGTTCCACCCTGACTTTACTGGTTTGAAGCATTCTGGCTTAGCTGCGATTTTATTCACCTGTGTTTCCTTCTTTGTTTGAGCAGACTCTGGAACGTGGCTCACTACTCCCAGGCTTCCTCTTATGGCCAGACAGGAGAATCAGGATACTCAGAGCAGCAGGAACGCGCTAGCAGGAAGATATTACAAGTTCAGACTGGACTGAGTGGTTTATATATAGTGAGTGGGGTGACATCATCACTCAGAGACTCAGAGACAGGAAACTCCCATCTGACTCTCTCAGATGATGCTCTCCTGTCTGGCCATAAGAGGGAGCCTGGGAGTAGTGAGCAACGTTCCAGAGTCTGCTCAAACAAAGGAGGAAACACAGGTGAGTAAAATGGCAGCCAAGCCAGAATGCTGCAAACTAGTAAAGTCAGGGTGGAACCCTGACACCGAGGTCCTCAGGCAGCTGCATCACTTCCTGTGAGCCGCGGGCGCCTGTAAACAGGTACTGGCCTGCACATCTCCTCCGGCTCCTTCCAGTCAGCACGCTGCCTGCCTCCAGACCCCTGGTGAGACCTCTGCACTTCCCACATAGCAAAGACTGCATAGCCCACCTGAGAACCCACTTAGCCCACCTGAGAGCCTTCTTAGCCCACCAGAGACCCTACACAGCCAATTGAGAGTCCACATAACCCACCTGAGAGTGTGCATAGCCCACCTGAGAGTGTGCATGGCCCACATGAGAGTGTGCATAGCCCACCTGAGAGCATGCATAGCTCACCTTAGAGCCTGCATAGCCCATCTGGGAGCACACAGAGCCCGCATAGCCCACCTGAGAGCACGCATAGCCCACCTGAGAGTTTGTATAGCCCACCTGAGAGTCTGAAAAGCCGACCTCAGAGCCCACACATCCTCCTGACAGCCCACCAGAGAACCCGAGTCCACCTGAGATTCCGCACAGCCCTGGTGAGAGCCCGTACAGACCACCTGAGACCCTGGGACATCAGGGCTGCAACCCGGAACAACACAGAGTATGTAGCTTCATATTATTTTGTATTGCTGTGTAATATGTAGCTGGGATTTGTAGTCCTCCGCAGTCGTTATTTACTCACTCCCCTCTCCTCATTCTCTCCTCTATATCCTCTACAAAAAAATGCCATGTGTGGCACTAGAGTGTTTGGGTTTCCCTTGAAGGGAAGCTGGCAACCCTAATTTGTATCCTAAAAGCACTTGTGTGTTGTGTGGATAAATTAAAACCCTGGCAGTCCAAATTTCCACAATATTGTCCTGGGGTTATCTGTTTCCCTTCTTTACCCCATACACACATTATATAAGCATCTCCCTTTCAACGGTACAGAAATACAAGAAACTTTTAGGAAACCAAAGGGATTTTGTCATAGAACATAAACATTGGTAATGTGTGTATTGTCCTATAAAGTCCATATTCTATTCCTGAAAAAACACCTGAACAAGGAAACACATTAGACTCTAATTGGCAGATCCGCCACAGCCCTTCTGATATGTGGTTAGTTGCTTAGTTCTCATAGTTGCCATAATATTACTAATAATAATAATTAAGAATGATGTTCAGGTTTATCATAAGCAGAGTTTGAGATTCACAGTGCCAGTGAATTTATAGCGAAAATTCCCTAGACTGAATGTTAAAGGAACTATAATGCGCTGCCTGACCTTTCGACTGTGGACAGCAGGATTAGAATAGACAATAATGGGGGTTCCGTGTGGGAAGAGTTGCTATACTGTGGTATACAGTGTTATATTGTGCAAATTTACTCTGGATTGCACAGTTTGCAGTTCAGAGACCCAACAGTCCTTTGTAGGATTACTTATTTGTGTGTGACAGCAACAACTATAGTTGCTGTTTAGCTGTTGCCCCCATCTTTCAATTAATTCTTTTTTTGTTTTTGTTTTAAAAAGGGGAGGGGGGATTATTTAATGTGTATCCCTTTTTTTGGGTTGGTTAAAAAAATGGTGTTGTGGTTTAGTGTTTCAGGTTTATTTTATTTTTTTAAAGGGGAGGTGATTTCTGTTGCTAGTGCCTTTTTTTATTTCAGGGTGAGCAACGTACACTTGTTGCTAAAACAGGAAAAGCTGACCTTTGTACCTAGCACATCACCACATGAAGTAAAGTAGTGTGCACCATACCACAGTATTTTACCATACTACTGGTAAAATACTGTGCACCAAACGCACAATCTTTCCCCCCTGTTGCCATACCGGTAATTAAATTGAATGCACAATCACATTTAGTTTTAAAAAAATGTCAGGCAAACCTATAGTGAGAGACAGAGGTTCTTCATGCAGAGGTAGTTACCCAGATAGCAAGCAATTGAGCTGCAAGTTTGAAAATGACTTGCTAAACTATTGCAGACTTGCCAAGCTTCACAATTTTGTTGCACAATTACAGCAAGTCTGCATTGCAAGTCTCCAGGCCAGCGAGCTTGCAGAGCTCTTGCTAAGACCTGCAGGACTCTTGCTGTAGACTTGCCAAGCAAATTTGCTACAAATTCAAAAAGTGTCAACTAGAACTTGTGCTGCGAGTGTTCTGCAAGTCTACAACTTGCCAGGAATACAGTATGTGCAGCAAGTTAACAAAATTTCCTATCACAGAGTGGCCATCCTATATGTCAATATCACATGCAGGCAGTAGTTGAGTGGTTGACAAAGCCTTCCTCTTTTTCTTCCTCCCAGACACAGAGCAGTCAGTTGTCTTCAAGTGCTAATAATGTGCCCTCTTCCTCCTCCCTCCCCTTTTGCTAATCCCACCATAGCCCTACAAGCTGGTTATGGTAAATCAGGGGAATTATTTGCTAATACGATTGCTGACTTGCTGCGGCAGGAGGATCTCCACAAGCCTCCTTTGAGATATTGAGGATGAGGAAGAACATAGAGGGACAACAGTGAGGAAGGTTTCTTTTGTAGGGGCAGCTTTCAGAGCAGCCATTCAACTCCATCTGTTGGCAAGTACTATTCCCAGGACTGATCAACAGAGCTCTGCAGTGTGGGCCTTTTATAATGTATCTGTTGCCAACAGCACCAATGTGGTCTGCAGCCTTTGCCTGGAGCATATTGGCATTGGTAAAAGTGCCAGCCATTTAGGTACTATATACACGAGGAAGCATATGCCACCGCCCCAAAGAGCTTGGTGGGAGCAGGACTCAATGAGACAAGTTGGTAGAAAAAAGGCTTGCTCCTCTTCGTTCTTCCTCGTCTGCATCTACTCTACCCCATAACCAGCAGAATCCTTCCAAGACAAGGTGATTCTTCTGCAGCTTCAGCAGAAAAAAAACAAACAGCATGTCCTTAACCTTGTGGTGCAGCAGTTTATCACAAATACTCTAGCTTCCAGGAGGTCCTTTCGTCAGGCTAGGAAGGTTTGTGGGCATGTTAGGTGATCATACAAGACCATGGCTCACCTGGCAGAAAAACAGCTTCAGCATCAACTGCCTGTCAACTATTTTGTCTGTGACACCTCCATGTGCCGGCACTCAATGTTGGCTATGCTGCAGAGGCTGCAACATGATATCTATGATTTCCTCTGGGATTATGGCATGTGGACAAGATCTGGGGAACTAGTGTTCTTTTCACTATGTCAATAGCTCATCATTCAGGACATGTGTAATG